AAATAAGTAAACAAGATCACGCACGAGCATAATTGCCTTTCTACTCAAATATACATAAATAACTTTAAAAAATAGTGTTCGGAAATTTGGGGAAGAGGCCTAGGATACCCTCGCAAGGTGGAGGCTTCCCTCCCATGGCTCTAGCGATGGGCCTCCCCAAGATGCCAGAGGTTGCCAACCTCCAGGTGAGCAGGGGTCATTTCCTGCAGGAGCTCACAGGAGTGGAGCTCCGGCAGTAAAGAGCCCAGGGGACGGGCACATGCAACAAGCCCCACCCCCTGCTCCCAGCAGCCCTCAGGCAGAGCAAGAAGCAGCCAGGTAAGCTGCAGAGCCCCCCCCCCCCCGGCTCCCCGGCCCAAAACGGTCCAGTGGCACCTTTAAGACCAAGTTTTATTCAGGTACAAGCTCTCCCTCCTCTGTGAGGACAGATCTGCACATCCCCCCCCCCATAGCTACCCATCCAAAACAGTCCAGTGGAGCCTGAGCGGTGGGTGTTGCCTTCTGACACACTTCCGGTGAGGTCAGGGGGTGTGGCATATGCAAACAAGTTATGCTAATGAGTTATGCTAATGAGTCCCTGCACCTCTTTTTCTACAAAATGACCCCTGCAGGTGAGAACTAGAGATCTCCTGGAATGACAACCAGTCTTCAGATCAGTTCTCCTGGACTTTATGACTGGGCTCTCTCTCCTCCCTGGGCACTGCCCTCCAAATCTCCCGGAATTTCTCAGGCCAGGGTTAGTAGCCTTATCCAGAAACGTTTTTCCTTTCCCATGGCTGTTTGAGAAAACCTTAGGACAGGGGTGGCCAGACTGCGGCTCGGGAGCCACATGCGGCTCTTTCACACATGTTGTGCGGCTCCCAGCAGGACAGCCTCCCTGATCGGTCTTCCCTTCCCCAGCCAGTGTTCCCCCCTGGGCAGGCTTGAGGTAGGGAGGGGGGGAGCAGAGAAAGAAAGCAACTTTAAATGCATTCTCAAAGCCCCCACCCCCCTGGCCGGCTTGGAGAAAGCATCTGTCTCTTTAAATATCATTGTCAATATCTGTTTTTACTCCTTTTGCCTTCATTTCCGGCAGTCTTATTTGATGTTAATAAAAAGCAAATTTGCATATTTCCCAATAAAAACGTGTGTGCGATATTTGTTCGTTTCCTGCGGCTCTCAGACATCTGATGTTGCTTCTATGTGGCTCTTAGGTTAAGCACGTTTGGCCACCCCTGCCTTAGGAAGAGTAAAACGTGTCCCTCTCCCTACCCCTTTTGTAGGTAAACTCTGCAATCTTTGGGTATCTGCTGCCTCCTTGTGGTCGACAGCCATATTACTCACTTTAGAAGGAGAAATAAGTATTTCGTGATCGATCGAGATGAGTAGCCGTGTTTAGTCCTCCTGTAGCAGTAGAAAAGAGCAAGAGTCCAGTAGCTCCTTAAAGACCAACCAAATTTCGAGGAGCTTTCGTGCGAAGTGAGCAGTGACTCATGAAATACCCTGCCACAAATGTTAGATTTTAAGGTGCTACTTGCTCTTTTCTAAGTCTCTTGTGAAAGACGGGTAGCTGGCATCTTACAGTCCCTTCATATAAACCCTGAACAAAAATCTGTGCAAACGTAGTAAAGCCAGGACACTGTTTTTATGAAATCATCTGTACGACAGGCTCAGACATCCAGGGAGCAAAGAGAGAAGCACTCAAGGAGGGATGCCAAGTCTGGTTTGGGAGATTCCTAGAGATTTGTGGTGGTTGCAAAATCAGTGTTCCCTCTAAGCTGAGTTAGTGTCAGCCAGCTCACAGTTTCTTAGCCTCCGGCTCACACATTTTTGTCTCGGCTCAGGGAGGAGGGCTCCAGAGCAAACTAATTTACGCAGTAGCCAAATCACCTGCTCACAACTTTAATGCCGGTAGCTCACAAAATAGGATTTTTGCTCACAAGATTCCGCAGCTTAGAGGGAGCATTGGCTGCAATGCAGGGTGGGAGGAAAGTCGGCCTGGTACGGCCCGATCTCATCAGATCTGGAAAGCTAAGCAGGGTCGGCCCTGGTTAGTGTTTGGATGGGAGACCCCCCCAAGAAAGACTGCAGAGAGAAGCCATGGCAAACCACCTCTGCTTCGGCTTCCCTTGGAAGCCCCTTGCTGGGGTTGCAGGAAGTTGACTGTGACTTGAAGACAGTTTACACACACACAGTAATGCAGGGCAGCATTCTGCCTGGCTTATTCCTGGGCTATTTTAACTTCCCAGTCTATCCCTCCCTACCTGTTCAGGAGGGTGCAAAGTAAGGTTAGCCAAAGGTGTGTGTGTGTGTGGGGGCAATGTAATGTCAATGATTCTGGAGAATTTTTATTTTGTCATGCAGCGGGGGGGGGGGAGGTGCTTTTGCAACCTGATACAGGCTATAACTTTGAAGAAATAGTAACTTCCTCGGCACACACCACTGCAAATTTAAAAAGAGTCTACAGCTCACCTGGAATTTCAGAAGCCACCCTCCGACAGCTAGGCCCAGGTAAGAACATAAGAACATAAGAGAAGCCAATGTTGGATCAGACCAAAGGCCCAGCTAGTCCAACACTCTGTGTCACACAGTGGCCAGAAATACCAGGTGCCATCAGGAGGTCCACCAGTGGGGCCAGGACATTAGAAGTCCTCCCACTGTTGACCCCGCCCCCCAAGCACCAAGAAGACAGAGCATCCCTTGCCCCAGATCATTCATTCATTCATTGCATCCTCTGTCCAAAGATTTCCGAGGCGATGCACGGGTTTGAGAACCTCCGATACCACAGTTGGCATCAAGTGCGGCAGGGCCTCTGTTACAGCCCACGGCTTGGCAAAGGGCTCTCTGCTGACCAGGGATGCTTGACTGATCAGTTGGCACCTGGAATGGGAGGGGAGTCCTGGGATGTCTTAGGAGTTTGCAGGGCAATCTCCTCTATCAAGCCTGCAAAAGGCAAAAACTTGACTCTTTTGCACTCCTTTTACCGATGCTCCTTGGTCTTGAGGAGCAGAAATACTTTGCTCCCTCCTCCGGAAGGCCACGAGGCATGCATGCACCGGAAAGGTATCAAGCCTAGAGCCTCCTCAGACCTGGAGCTAACCCTGGAAAACAACCTTCAGAATACCAATCGCTGCTTACTTCTGCCACCGGGAGACAGAGCAGTATGGTGGTCAAAGTGTTGGGAGTAGCAGCAGGGAGGCCTGAATTCAGATTCCTCCTGCTCTCATGCAGGGGTCATTTCCTGCAGGAGCGCACAGGAGTGGAGCTCCAGCAGTAAAGAGCCCAGGGGACGGGCACATGCAACAAGCCCCACCCCCTGCTCACAGCAGCCCTCAGTCAGAGCAAGAAGCAGCCAGGTAAGTTGCAGAGCCCTCCTCTCCGGTCCTCTGGTCCAAAACAGTCCAATGGCACCTTTAAGACCAAGTTTTATTCAGGTACAAACTCTCCCTCCTCTGTGAGGACAGATCTGCACGTTTCCCCCACACACACACAATAGCTAGCAATCCAAAACAGTCCAGTGGAGCCTGAGCGGTGGGTGTTGCCTTCTGACACACTTCCGGTGATGTCAGGGGGTGTGGCCTATGCAAATAAGTTATGCTAATGAGATATGCTAATGAGCTCCTGCACCTCTTTTTCTACGAAATGACCCCTGCGTCTCACCCATACTGAATGTCCCACTACCCACACTTTCAGTCCACTTCTAATGCACTTTAGCGTCTGCAAGTGGATTTGGCACTGTAGGGCTTTCCTGCACGTCTCATCTTCTTTGCTGGTGTGTCCTTACTCCATCTTTCCTGAATGTCTCTTGCTCCCTCTAGGGGTCACGTTGACATTTCTTCACTGTATCGCCAGCTTATTTCCCTGCACTTTTAAAGTGCGCAGGAATAAGCCAGTGATCCAGTGGTGAAATATTGAAGTGGCCACTAGAGGGAGCAAAACACATGCAGAAGGGAGGGGGGGAAACCCTGTCATGATACAGGCACAGAATGAAAGAACACATCTGGAAAAGACCTCACACAGGAACATCCAGTTGCAAAAGTGCATTGAAACTGGATGGGAAGTGCATTGTTCAGCTTGTCTGGAAGCGCCCTTTTTTTTTGTGGATAAATATCTGTTTATTGCGATAACAGGAAATACAGGGCAGGATACCTTAGCACCCAGTAACGCCAAGCTGTATTCTGCCGTAACTGGGAAGGGCAGTAGGTCTTACACCCCAAATGACATCATGACAGTTGATACAGAAAGAAATCCCTAATTGGTGTCTATCAGAACATCATTTGAGCTGGCACTTCTCTATTGGCAAGCCCCTATCGGGGTCTTAAATGTCAGTAGTTACATTTGCTTATCTGGTCCTGGAACAGTGGAAAACATCAGTGAACAGAGAGGCATTCTTTCGGCATCATTCCTGGCTTATTTGCTTCTGCCTGAAACTGGGGAGTTTTTTTTATAAGATGTACACAGCTTAGTTCTTAGCAGACCTTCTGGGGCCAGATGCTCTGCACTACACAGAAAGATGATTGTTTTTAGAACGCTGAGAATCTCTCCCTCTCATAACTGAGCTTTTCCGATGTCCTTGGGCTGGAGAGTTTATAATTTCAAATAATTCCATTTATTATTTTCTGACTCTAGGAAAAAGACCTTTAACTATTAAAATAATACTCTGAAAAATTTCCACTCTACAGCTCTACTGTCTGGGCTAACCATTGAAATCTAAATTCAGTTTAATTAAACACCTAATAAGGCGCAGTGACAGCTGTCATTTTACCTGTCAAGAAAAGCATCAGAAATCGCATTCATAAATCACACTCACTGGTCACTTGTCCTACACCTCCCAACGTTCTGTGACAGGCCCCGCCCTCAAGGCAGCCACATCGTGATTGGTTTGTGTGGAAGCGCCCTTAAGTGGACATGGACCAGGTATACTGTTTCGACTGAACCCTCCTCACAGGGTTTTTGTGAGTTTCACATAAGAAGTCTACAGGATCCCCCGACTCCTGGGTGCGAGAATAACATACAAATGAGCAAGCAAAGAAAAATTCATTCTTCAGGGGATATGCTTATTTATTCTGAAGACAGGCCTGATGCTACAGGACAAGAGCAACGGTTGGAAGCATGTGGGAACGGACAGCAGTCGGGAGTGTCCTGAAAGGGCAGCAGGTGCTGAAGCTCAAAGGCCCTGAGTTCTAGAGCTGACCAATCTCTCCCAGGAGAGTCTGGCTGAGAGCAAGCAGCACGCACGGTCGGGGGTGCTCTCAGGCGTCGGGGAAGAGCAGGAAGCCAGAGAAGATGCTGTCGGCTCCCTCCGTCCCCCCGATCAGCGAGTTCTTCTCGGTTGGCTCCAGCCAGACAGACTCGCCCACCGCCAGGCGGAGCACCACACCCCCTGTGGTGACCTGGAAAGTGTTGTGGACGTAGTCACAGAACCCCACCACCTTCTCACCTCGACTGCCCTGTCCTTTCTTGATATGGACACAGAGGTTCCCCCGGGAGGTGACGTGGTAGGTGAAGTAGTAGAGGCCCGGCATCTCGCAAGTGAAGCGGCCGTAGCGGTTCTCGTAGTGACGGTTCACGTTGACGAGGACGCGGTCAAACCGGACGGGCTGCCCACGCCGCGGGAGCATGTTGACCCCCCTGACCGCCGAGAAGGCCGATTTGAGCGTGGTCTTGTAGTCTCCGGATTCTCCTTTGGGACCACGGGGGCCGGGTGGACCGGGGGGGCCTTTGGACCCTCCTGGGCCTTTGGGGCCGACTTTCCCAGGATGCCCATCCTCGCCAGGGTCTCCTTTCTCCCCAGCATCTCTGGCATCGGCAGACACCCCAGGAGGACCTACGGAAGCAGAAAGACAGGGAAGAACAGAAAGAGTTGAAGGAAAAGACTGAATGACCCACATGACCGATGCAAAGGGTTGACTGGGGGGGGCGCATCTGCTGAGGCCCACGGCCCCACCAGAAGGTACGCACCCAACCTAACCACAGACTTTTTTTGGCTCATCTGCTAGTCCCACCATAAATGGGAGAAGCTCAAGTGATGTCCTAGTACCCTTTGGGGGCAATCTTTCCTTTCCTGCTGGGAGGGAACAGTACGTAACTCCCTTTTACTCCTTGCCACGGCTGATAGGGACGGAAGGAAAGAGAGTGGCAACTTGATTCATTAGACCCATTCATGGAGAAGCGACCCATCCAATGGCAGTAGTCACAGTGGCTAAACGGAACCTCTGCCATCACAGATGCTTAACCTCTGGATCCCATTGGCCGGCATCCCTACTGGAAGTTCCATGTGCAATGCCCACGTCAGACCTCCAGACTGAGCGGCAAGAG